TTAAGGTAAATACGCGCTAAAAAAATATACTCTATCCATCTTCATATCAGTATATTAGAAAATCTCATGGCCCCTACGGTATATAAATAATATGCATGAATATACTCGTATCTCCATAGGGCTTTAAGAACTTGTTGCAATAACACTGTACGTACTCGTATAATGCGCACAGCGAGCTGCAGCGCGTGTGCTGGGTGTTTAGTTGCAGCCGGCTGTTTTTACTCGGTGTTTGGTAAATTGCAGCTGCTCTACCTTTTTAATACACCTTTAAAAAAAATCATTATTCAAATAGAGACCGGTATTGTTGCAAACATTTTCTACTAATAAAAAATATTAATTTCTATGAAACATGTATTGTTTTAATAGAACATAACAATCTTAAAATCATTAATTTAATAATATCGTTTGAATAATAAAATATGCACTATATATATATTATAATAAAATCTTATTAATTACCACTCAATAACTGCTATGGAATTTCATTGTCATACAAAATTTAATGTTATTGATGTTTATTTTAATCTTTCATTATTTTAAGAATGACAATGAATGGATTACAATTTTTATACGAAAGGCTGACTAAATTTGATGTATGACTTAAAAAATTAAGATACAAACAAACTTTATTATATTGTGTATAAGTCAGTTCAAGTGAAATTAAACAGTTAACATAAACTTTTGATAATAAAAATTAATTTAAAACGTTTTAAATAATTAAAAACTAATTGAATACTATGGCTTAACATCTCACTTTTTAGTAGAATAAAACAAATTTCAATGTCGTATATAAGTACTTATATTCAATTATTAAAATTAACATACGATACGTATAATTTATAAATACAAGTTTAAAGCTAAATGAAACTTTGAAAAAAATAAAAATAAATTCATCATACTTAATGTTTTTTATTTCTTAGACTTGTATTAATTATAAATATTAATTAATTTTGTACACTCTGTATAGTATAATAATGATGTTTAATGTCTTGCGTATAATATACAACGGTAATTGAATGTAATATAGGTAGTACTTCTTTAACAGTCCAAAAAATTATAGAACCGTGATTTACACTTGATAAATCTAAGAACATTCTATCAGAAGGCTCATTGTCATTAATGACATATATTGGATTTTTTTACGTGTAACATTATTTTAACTGGTTCTTTGAGGATTTAACAAAAAAAAAAAAAAAAAGAATGTATACCGTGATAGGTATATATATATGTATATAATGTGAATATTAGAAAAAACTCATTCAAAATCATTTACTGTGTAAACCATGATATTATTTTACATTGTATATTTTTTTTTTTACATTTAGTTTTTTTTTTGTGTTCACTGTGCTATAATATTTTACAATATCTATCGTTTAGAGATTTTACCGTCTAGTAGCAATTAAAGTCATTATTATCTGTGTTCCCGTAATTCCGATTAAAATCTGTGTGAAAATTTAATTTTTATAAACCTACCGTCCATCCTAGAAAACGTTTGTGTACGTGTACTATTGTCTCCTCGGGGTATACCTTTTTTTTACATTATAATATGGTTGGCGTCAGGTATAGGCAGCCGGCCGTATTATTATACCCTTCTTGTTAAACCGGTGGCAGACGTACCCTGCAGTAGTACTAGTATATTGCTAAAAAGGGTTCGTAAAAAATGATCATTGGGGTCGTTCGAGCTCTGCTGTCGTGTAGACCACATGCAGACACAATGTCTCTTCTTTTCCAATCTAATACAATACGTATCGTTCATTTGTAAATAATTTTAATAATATAAAATTCTTTCGTATCGTTAACATCACGTTTCAATGAATTCATGTAGTAATAACGTGTAAAGCTGTGAGAAAAAATTGGATACAATCAAATACTTTGTTGTGTGCCAAATTGGCAGTTGGCACCACTATGACTGTTTTGAACAGAATAGTAATCTTGTTGCTTTAGATTCGTAGTAGTCAAAGATCATACAACCTCGTTTATTCAACTATTAATGACCTCTTAGAAAACTACGATATCTATCTTTATATTCATTTATATGAATTCAATACGAAATAATAATAAAAACGACATAAACAAGTTTACGATCCATGCATCAAACAAAGGTATAAAATTGTAAAAAATAAAATTCGTAATTTACACGTATACACAGTAGTATTAATCTATTATCTCTAAACGAGTATGTGTACTATAATGTTTGCAAGGTAATCCGTTCAAAATTACGACCTACTGTAACGATCGTTTATATTCGCGTTTAAAATTCAACTAAATATGCGCAAAAACGTCCATTTTACTGTGTTCTGGATTTAGTATGCGTATTACTATATCCATAGGAAGTACGATTTTAAATATTTTTAGACCAGTAAAAAAAGTCACAGAAAACGACAACAAAAAAAATTCTTTTTAAAATAGAAATATTATTCTTCTCGAAGAGTTAACGAAATATAACTTCTATCATCGCTGCAGGAGTACAGTATGAATACAGGCAGGGGCGTTCAGTCGGAACCCCTCATTTTATGTTAACGAGGGGTTCGGAGCCAAAAACCGTTACAACACCCAGTAAAAATAATAATAACATAAGCTGTTGCATTTTCTATGCACTGGACACGAATCACAAAAACGAATGTACACGTCTCACACATCCTATATAATAAATAATCAAGTGATTTATTAAACGTTTTATTTCTTTCGGCCGTTGAAAAGGTTAAAAGGCGTTGATTCGCAATAAATCCCGTATGCCGTTGCAACAATGGATTTTATTATACTGTGGACTGTCTAAATAGTATTTGTACATTACTCGATTCCTGTCGGAGAAATGTCAAAAAAAAAAAAAAAAGACTAAACGTGTCTCGTGCAGTGGACTCACGCTGCGAAGTTTCGTTTTCTTCTTTGGTCGGCTACTGTGATATACAGTTTCACAGTATTTATTTTGTGTTAGTGGTGTGAGTAAATAATACATGGCTTTGGATTTAGTGTGGATATTAATTAAGGCCGGAATTCTCATAAATTTACAATATAATTTGTACGTGAGTGATGAGTGTATACATGAGTGTGTATAATGTATATAGAAAAAAAAAAAAATTGCAGCACATTCGTTGAAATCGGTAAGCTATGTATTTTAAGACTATTTTAATAATACTATAACTGCTGCGTGGATAACGTCCGGAAGTTAAACTCTTCCGCTCCCGCACGGTTTCATACATGGACGCGTTGAATAACATAATATTATTATGTTTGTTTGGCCAACCGTCTATTGCATCCATTGTTTCTATCCGTAAATGCTTCAAGGCATCATCAATTCTTATAACTACAACATTTCGTGTGTCTTTAGTACTTTATTATTAGCATTTTATTTAATTATATAAATACGGAATTTGCGAATTATATATTTAGGTTATAGTCAACAGAGTTAAACGAGTGCAATAGTTGGTATTTTTATTTTTTTTTTTAAATCGTTATAGAATAGTTAAATGGATATTCTACTTCTTGGTAGTTTTGTATAATGATTTAAATTTTTTTTACGATAAGTTTGGCAATGGGTGAACCATATATACCAAAAAATCTTACATTAATCAAGCATTCTAGTCCTATTAAATACAAGACGTATCGTATTATGGTTTTATAGTATTTTGATATAGCTCAGTTATTTAAATAAATGAGTTTTTAGTGCAAGTTAAACGAAGGACAGGATATACAATTTGGCACTATAAAAATTGGGTTAACGTTAATTTTCAACAGCGTGGTAAAATAAAAAAAATATCACACGATGAAATTCAGCAAACTTGTACATGAAGTATTCTCATAATTTTTTGACGTTTAGGACAGTAAAAAAAACTTTATTATTTACCTTGATTCATCTAGAAAATGTCTGTATTTAGTTTATTGGTTTGGATCACACAATATTATTAAAAAAAGCTATTATTATTATTAAAACAGAATTATAGTATACTATAATATTATATTATATTGAATAAAATGTACTGTTAAAACGTGTAAACATGAAATTATAAATAAATTGCACATGTTATGATGCACATAATATGCCGAATAATAATATTAACATTATTTAAGAAATATAGTATTAATTTACAATATAATTGTGATTAGTAATAAATAATAATAATCATAAATCAAGAAGTCTTTAGGTAATGTAATGAATCTAAGAACATCATTAATTTTGAATCATTTTTCCATCGGCATCAAATTAATGAGGTACGTTGCAAATTTTCTTATCGTAATTTATTCGGAAACGTGTAATATTAACATGAACATCGTAACGTATAGATATTTGTCGAGGTATGCGTCATATCGTTCATCCCGCGTGTTCTAGAGTCTAGACGTTTGAGCGCACCAACGAACCGCGATAGTATAAATAAATATCGCGTCGGACGAATAGCATTTCGAAACGTTCCGTAGATTTCTTACTAATGAACGAAAAACATGCTCATTCGATGTTCAAAATTCAAGTGTTGTCGGGTTGAAAGGAAAAAATTATAATTAAATCCGCTAATATTCGTTCGCAACAGTACACGATGAAACGAGAAGATTTATAGTCGCAGCATAGCTTTTTCTCGGACGCGAAATCGTCAACGGTGGGGCGCAGCCTTTGAAATACGTTCATTGTTGGCCATTAATGTCTCCGTTTCGGGGGAGATTAGATGAAAAAAAAAAATAAACGAAATAAAATAATAGCAATGATAAAAAAATAATGTACGCACGCACGCCACCAATATATTATATTTTATATAGTGTAACGTGCGTACACCACGAGCTCCCCCTTTCCCCCCGGCACACAACAACCACCCTAATAACGGTGAGAGGGGTGACTACTGTACGTACGGGCGGGCTGTGGCAGCGGCGGCGGCGTCGCGCGCGTGCGTATGTGTGTGTGTCACCTGGTGCCCGGGGGGGATGGGCGTACGGTGCCGACACCTGGCGGCAGACTGGAAACGCACGCACGCATCGCCGCCGTCGTGGTCGTCGCAAGAACGTATCCTCCGGGTCGGCCGGTATCGTCACGTCAGTCCGCCACAGTCGTTGATCCACGGCCGTTCGATAGCGCGCGAGTCTCTGCTGCTCCCCGGTCGTTCAGTAGTGGTTCGTTATCGTAGTTTTTTCTTATCCGTTTTTCCCGTTCACATATCAAAACAGAAATATAATTATTCGCCAGTGATCGCGCGGCGGGTATTGAACATCATCACAATTATTATTATTCGTAACGTGTAAATTATTACAAAAAAAATTAATTAAAATATATATATATTAATTTTTTTTTTACTACAATGTGTACTTGAATTATTACTCTCTCGTCCGTGTTGTGAAAATTTTTTTTTGTTTTACAAAATATTCTACAGTGTGTGTTTTATTTTTATCATATCGTTACTACACGGATTACCCGCCGGTTTCGTGATTATAGTATTCGAATACGAAATAATTGCCGTTTATCTAAACCCGATCCGTGTCCGCCGCGGTATTAAGAGCTTTTGTTTTTTTACGCGCTAAGTGTTTTGCGATGCGTTGCGTACCACCGCGTACCCGCGTCCCAGACAACATCTAGTCGGGATATACCACGCGCGCGTGTTCCAAGAATAAAAACGAAATAATTTTTCCACACGTCGTCGTCGTCGTCGCTATCAGTGCGGTGCGCGCGTCCACCATGCGTTACCGATGGTGTAATCTGTATTGCATCGTTTGCGTCGTCATCGGATTCGTCGTTACAAATGTAAGTAGAAAACGAAAAAAACAACAACCGTCTGATTGTGCACAATTTTGCGTGCATTGCCGTTGTAACATTATATTCCCACGGGAAGAGGACCTCACACACGATCGGGGCTCGTCAGGAGGGTCCCACTCCGCCATTTGTCGTCGCACTTCGTTGGAAGTGACGAAAATAAATTGATATGCGTATAGTCTTGTTAGTTATTATTATTCTTATTATTATTTCCCCTCCGCCCACCTCGTTATATATGCCAAAACTCACGTAAACAACGGTTACCACCGCTGCCGCTGCTCCGCTGATATATTACACTATAATGGTATAATGTCCGCGCGCTACGGTACATTTCCACGATACACGCGGGTACGAGAGAAAAAAAAATTTTCTGTTTACGAATTCCTCTCCCAGTGGAATCCGTATAATTCTGATCGAACCGCCGGACAACCGATTCATTAAAAATCCTCCTGTTCAACATCAACGAAACGGCGCCCGGTATGTATGTCTATAAAAATGTATAAATACAAACCTATAACCCGGTTTTCAATAATAATAATGATGATGATAATAATAATAATACGGTCGCTGACATATATACGTTCGTTCCCCATGCGCCGCGTATCTCTTGTTTTCCACCGCCACTCTTCTCCACGTAGCCGTCGTCCCGTTTTATTTATATCTCTCCCTGTCTATATCATAACCGCCGATATTGTGTACGTGTGGTGCGCTCTCCGTTTAACTATTATATCGCTTTTGATGATTTCACGGGCTCGCCCGCGTACACCCATAAAGTCGTCATCGACAGAGGCCTGTTGAAATCCTCCGGGGCTGTGCTCTATTTTATTTAGAGTGATCGGTGGTTTTTATTCTCGTTGTTATCGAGAGTGAATTTATATTAATTTTTATTTTTTGTTTACAATCCTCGTCCGTTCGCACGCGCCTATGATAACGACTTTGTATCGTGTCGATAGTTATTACTATTATTAGTACACAAGAACTCGACGGGTACTTTTTTTATCGTTTTTTTTATTGGCCGTCAACGTTAGCGGACTTATCTGCGTGTCGCCAATTATATGTTTTTCGCGCTCCGTGTCGGCTCCCTCTTCTTACCTCCCCCTCTTGTCTCGTCAGATAAATAATTAATAATTTCTCTTCCGATTGACGTCGTGTGCATATATCGTCGTGACTAGGTGTTTATTATTAGTTTGTACACGGGTTTTAGACCGTTGACTTATCAGTCGCAGAGATAACAAGGTTCCCCATGTATGTCGTATTATTGTTACATTGTGCACGTTCACCCGCTCCGCGTCGAAATGTGCATCTCTTTGTCGTTTTCTCCATGACCGAACCGTTCGTTTGGGAAATCCGCGTGCCGCGATCGGAATGCGGGGGCGGCGTCCGGTCACCACCTATCGTCATCAATACATTATTATTTTCGTCAATTCAAGTGTGATTTTCGCGCACACCGATGTCACTCGCTGACTTTAACGTATAACACATCGGTCGTCGTTTATTATTGTTACCGCTCGGACCCGTCCGCTGTTGGTCGGCGAGGTGTTTATTGCAAAACTCGAAACAACCACGCGCAGTTCGGAGGACAAGGAGAGAGAAGTCGAAAAAAATCGTATTTCGGTATATTTACAAACACGAGTGGTTCTAACAATGAGCGCATTACCTAACTTTATTAAAAAGAAACTTTAAACGTGTTGAGTCATTGGTTATTATTGTTTTTTTGTTTGGAATGAATGACTTTTATAAAATGCAGTAACTCGTCTTTAACCTATGTCATGTCGGGAGAATAAGATGTGTCATCATATAGAATTTAAAGAACAAGGAGAGAAGACGACGATTATGAACGGACAAAAAAGAAATAAAACACTAGGCGCAATGAAATTTGTAGGAAAAAATAATAACGATGTTAAAAAAAAAACTTAACCATAATAGTATATAATATCTAGTGGTGCTGGTTATGTAGGCCATTTGTACACCTAGAAATTGTGTCGTAAAAAAAATAAAATTGATAACTATAACGAGTAAATCATAATTTACCCTGTCAACGCCACGCTGCGAATATCTATATGTATTTATACGTATGAAATGTGTCTCGATCACTTTTTTATGATAATAATTCATTCAATTAAGCCGCAATACAATTGGTTTCGTGTTTGATCCATTAATTAATGATCCATTAAATGAAAAGGCAACAAGTTCTTTCTTAATCGTAAAACGTGTGCACGATTTGTTATGTGGTTAATTACCCGAACCCGAGTAAATCCCTTACTCGCCGGTATAGGGAATTTCTGGTTTTTTAGTCCTACATATAATACCAATAAAATGTATAATAAATTACGATTACATGTTCACACACCTATATAATAATAATAAAAAAAAAATAATAATAATAACACTTGTAGCAACAGTAGTAATAATAATAGTACATATATATTTATAAAATATTATTAGAACCGGAAAATATATACAGTTGTCGTTTTCCAACGTGTATGTGTGTGCATGTATTCGATTATATTATAGACGTGTTGTACCTACGACACAATCACACATATTACACACACACACACATATATATATATATATATATGCACGTACAAAAAGAAATACGGCACATAAAAAGTACCTTCTGTAAGATAGCGCCGCGGCTACTATATTATTATTATTGCACCAGTCGGTCGGTCGGTCGTGGTATGTCGATGACAATTTTTCAACGGGTCGCGAGAGAGTTGCTACGGCTGCTGCTGTTCCACAATACGTATACAATAGTGTACGGAGAAAAATCGCGTGTTCTCGAATGATTCGTTTTCTTTGGACGCGATTTTATTATTATCATCATCGTCGCCATTATCCGTAGTTGTAGATCGTCCGTTTTGTCCCGAGCACAGTCATCGGTTGAACAACTTTTTGCTTCCGAGACGATGGGGCCGTTATAATAATACATTATATAGATATGCAACAACAAATTATAATAACAGATGACGAACGGTTTCTTTTTCTGGAAAAAAAAAACCAATAATCCCAATAATATTATGTGTTCCAAAGAAAATAACCTTTCGGTGTTGGTTGATTTTTTAAAAGGATAAAAAATTAATTGTACATCGCGTGTACCAGGTGTGGAAAAAAAAATGAAGACTTTATGAGCCATCGTCGACTGACGAATCTTATCATGGGCGGCGGCGATGGTGGTGGCGGAGATCCCTAGTCATCGTTATCCCGAGCGGCTGCTACCGCCTCCGGTAAACATTCCGATTTAGGTAGTTCGCTTTCACCCATTGTTTTGAGTTACGTCCTTTGAGAAGACGACCTTTATGTCCTAATGTCAACGTCACCTGTCAACGCAACGCGCACTGTTGTTCGCCGGAGTGCCGCGCGTGCGTCAAAGCTCGCGTACACTTATACATTATTATAATATATTACTATGCGCGTCGGGGTCCAGCGCGAGTTAACGTTTTCCCCGTGTACGAAGGACCGCAAGTATTCCGTTTTTTACCCGTTGGGCGTTAACGTCGTCGTCGATTGTGAAAAACGATTGCGCGAACGTTCGGGAGCACATGTCTATAGATACCGCATCATAGGTATGACTTGCACGCGATCGGTTATTATTACAATATATAGTTTTATTTTCGTAGTTTTTTTTTTATATTCCCTTCTCCGTGATCTTCGTTCGGTTACTAATTATAATGTTTTTTCGTTTTCACAGGTCAGTTGTAACGGCGTGTTCGAGCTGCGGATAAAATCGTTCAGTAACGAGCTGGGCCGAGAAGCTTCAGGACTGTGCTGCGGTGGCGTGTGCGGCACGCCGTGCCGGACAAAGTTCCGGGCGTGCTTGAAACATTACGAGACCAACATAAATGTGAACTCCACGTGCACGTTCGGTGACGTTGTCACTCCCGTGCTCGGCGAGAACAGCCTAACGTTACCGGCCAACGCCACGCCGATAGCGTTCCATTTCAATTTTACATGGCCGGTAAGTTACCTCGTCGTCGTCGTCATACATAACCTAATACAATATATATATATATATATATATAATATTTCTGCATACGTATACGTCGTTACCATTCTTACGTACTTCATACGTACTTGCTTGTGTGTGTGCGTGTACATATTATAAAAGTTATTGTATGGTGTACGTACGCACAGACGCAAATGCACATAATGTGTACATGTTTCCGCGCAAACACGAGACAACGACTGCGACGACGATACGCTATAACATAGAGGAAGAGGTTTCTTAGCTTCCTTCTCCGTTGCCGTCGTCGTCTCGCCACAGGAAACCCATACCGAAGATAAGATAAATGGGTGCACACGCTGTACGTAATACGTATATAAAACGTACGTATGTACGTATAAAATATATAAGGTACATGTTTGCAATGTGTAAATGTGTGTGTGTGTGTGTATTTGTTGTTTTTCAACAAAAGGGTTGACCTCCTCCTTCGGTAGGGGATCCGCTGTTCATGCCGGATTAGTATTTATATGTTTTTTTCAGAAGCCTTTCTTTTGTGCGTACCCATAATATATATACTTATTGTACAGGGGTAGCAGGAAAAGATAATAAATCCGCCCCGGTGTGGACCGTTTTACCGTTAGGGCGGCCCCGGCGAGGGACCTTAACCTTCAAAAATTCTCAAAAAAAAAAACCCTTTATGAGGTGTATGCGCAACGATTTGATGCGGATACCTAGGGAGTGTGAAATCAAAACCTGTCAGAATTGGTAAAATTATGGGAGATTTTTTTCTTTCTTATATATTCCTTGAAGGTCCTAAACCTCCACTAGGAACACAAACCGTCTTTCGTGTATTTTGATGTCATAAATACCAGTTTCAAATATTATGTTAAAATCGCTCCCGTTTTATTTTTTATACTTATATGTATATAATTTATACGTATACGTTTGATTTTTTTAATTAGATCTTATCACGCACTATTGATTAAAACTGGTTTTATTTCATGCTAGAAAATTAGTGGCTCTCCTTGGAACGCCTACTCGTTAAAATCACGATTTTTCATTCGATTAAACGATTTAATGTGTATACGCCGCATTTAAAGCTTGAGAGCTTTAGCGGATTACTTGTGACTCATGTTCACTTGGGAATAATACACTCCGGTATTGCGGTCCATTTTGGTTCGATGGATGCTGACCGATTTCCACTGGGAGTTGAATGCTGGAAGGGATGTTGTAACACAATCAATAGGCTTACGCATCATCTCCCATATGGCACTAATTCAAATTTGCTGCAATGCTGCCTTGAGCTTCATCATAACACTTGGTCGTAAAAATTATAATAATAAAAATGCAATCATGGAAAATTAGTTCAAGTTCTTTACTATAATATATCTGATCTGTTGGCGCTATTTTTCCTTCTTTGAAAGTCATCTCTACAGGTGGATATTTTAATTGGTTCAAAAATATTTCGAGATTACCTGTCACACAAGTGGCAATTAGAGGGTATCCGATTGTTAAAATAATTGCGGCCGCATGGGCGTGTGTTGAACAGAAGAAAAAAATTTAATCGATCTTTTCATTATTGGAATTATTATTATTAGGATCTCCTTTACCTGACTGCTTGTCAATGTATATATGAGGAAGGATAGGTTTCTTCGTTATTTTTATTGTCCCGAAACAAACCTTAGAATCACAATAGTTATTTCAATACTTCTTCAAATAGCCCACTATTTTTTTATATTTGTATTATTATACTTTTTATTTTTATTTTAATGGTCGTCATATATATATATATATATAGTGCACCAACGCGCATACACGTTAAACCAACGATTGTATTCTGTTAACAGTTTACACGATCAAAACTAGATACACAAACAATATTATTGTATGCGGGCTATTCTTTGAAGCAACACGATAAATTACTAAGATTTTTTTATTTGCATAATTTACTGTATTGGATTCATCGAAACCACACACTGATGTTAATTCGTGATAATAATAATACTATGTATATGCTAAATTATTTCAACGAGGCTGAATAATAATACTAACATCAATAATCTTCAACTAAAAAATATTTTAAAATGTCTGTGTTAATTTTATTTTATTTTTTTGTTACAGGGTACATTTTCACTAATTGTAGAAGCATGGCATGAACCATCGTCAGCAAGAAATTCAGGTAATAATAACATAATTTAGTTTTCAAATACACGATTATTTATATTTTCTCATGCATACATTTGGGTCTCTCGTATACTAGGTAAACGTCGGGCCTGAAGTATCGGAAAAAAATATTATGTTTCTGAGTCAGTAGGGTCGTCCAGAATCGTTATACCTAGAAACCCTATATGCGCACGCCCTCGAAATGTGTCCTACCCTTCTAAGTCACAAACAACACCTGTTTGGTATCCGTTTTCCCACGACTTCTACGTAGTAAAATCGGCTATTAGCGACCTTGAACAGTGTTCCATTCATAAAATTTACCAACATATTAAACCGAAGAGTTGTAAGCACACAACAATAAAGATTTGACACAACCTCCTCTCTTGAATTTCAATGTCTTAATTACCTTCTTATTTCCGGTTCGGTCTGGTTGTTTTATTAATTATAGAACGTTGGTTATAATAGTAATATATTATTCCATGTTATGATAAATGTGAACAAATTATTTCAATTGTACATTATATTTCCGAAATCTATAATGATGCATGTATTATGCCTTTAGTGACGTAACTCCAAAGTAACGTTTTGAGTATTAAATCATACCCTCGATAAGATCGTATTTGTGTACCAATATTTATTTAAAAAAATAAATGTTAAAATGTTTTACGATTGAGTAATATACTTTATCTTTGTTTGCTCGGCGGTAAAAAAAAACACCGACAATCACTCGTCGGTAGTATAGGTGGGGATGTTGCCTCTGTCTTAAAGTCGCGTTACTATAATTCCTTGGATTTTTTTAAAAAAAAAAAATTAATAATAAAATCATGAGAATAAATCGTTTTGCCTCTCGAAACGGAGTTCCCGCAAATATCGGATAAAATTAAAAAGGGTGTACAATTCTTAAAATTCATCTTGCGTACGCTACGTATGCGTTACCATATTCTTTTGTGATTTGTGTGGTTGAACAAAAAAAAAAATGCATATCGTGTTCTTCGCGACGACAGTGATGACCTGCGGTGGTGTGGCGGGGGTAATCGCGAAGCGCATAAATTTCAACGCTTTTGTTGAATAAAATCCGGACCAGACGTCAGGAATTCTTTTCTTTCTCTCCCTGCTGCTGTTGCTACTGCCTTCTCTCCCATCGGCCGTCGCGCCCTTCCCACCCCCGTTGCACTGCGATCATTCGCCGCCCCTCTCGATATATTTTATAACAGATATTTTCCCTTCCTTATTTCGTTTTTGATTCCGAGCCAAACTCGTGGGGAAGTCGACAGTCATCGTCTCATCCCTGTTTAATATATTGTGGTGTGTGTGTGTGTATACACGTCCAGAAATAATCTTGTCACGGATTACGAAGAAAATTGATGAAAATAATAGGGATTCCAGCCCGGAAACGTTTACCGAAAATAAAACGTCGAAACAGTCACCAACACATTTTTGAAATATTTCCATTATCATTACATATATACATACATACGTACACGACGTGCATAGTAGTGCGTACGTAGACGAATGAATACCCGTGGCGGTCACTGCGTGGCTTATTGGTGCGTTGTCGGTGGAGAGACGACGAAATCACTTTGTTGTGTATTGGCTCTTAACTATTATTATTGTTATTTTTATTATTATTCCATTTTATTCGGACGTTAGAAACGGCCGAAGAAAACGGTAGGCACGTAGCATTCAAACGGTGTGTAAGTGTGTGTGTGTGTGTGTGTGTGTGTGTGTGTGCGCGCGCGCGCGCGCGCGTGTGTGTGTATGTGTGACCAATTGTTGGGCGGTGGGTGACCGTCTTATTCTCCCACGGTGCCTCTGCCGACGTGTCTGCCGCGTTCGTCCGCCGGCGCCTCCTGTTCTTCGTGTGTATACACACTCGCACGCATGCGTTCGCGTACACATTCACATACGCGTGTGTGCGCGTGTATACGCGTATATGAGAACCGAATACTTGCAACGTATACGACACATTGTTTTTTTTTTTTTAATATTAATTTTTTTTTTACGATTATTAATTCGTTTTTTTTTTTCACGCTTTACCAGGAACGACTAACGGATCAGCGCTAATCACGCGGATCACGGACCAACGGTTCCTAAAACTCAGTGACGGATGGGTACAGCAGGAGTACGCTGGATCGACCGGCGGCGTCCGGTCGCGGCTCGTGTACGAGCACAGGGTCCGGTGCGAGGATAACTATCACGGCGATGGGTGTGCGAAATTCTGCCGTCCCAGAGATGACAATTTTGGACATTACTTGTGTTCAGATGACGGCGATATGATCTGCATGCCCGGCTGGACGGGAAGCTATTGCAGCAAAGGTAACAACAATTACGATTGAACAAAAGCGTTATGCGCGTAGTGCGTAAAGAATGTGTTTTTGTTGCGTATATGGAAGGCGTGTTCAACCCTTCTCGCGGTGCACGTATACGGTTTTAAGAACCCGTAGTTGTATTTTTCGGTTTTGAAATTAAAATTTCGGGGAGTGACTAATTATAAAAAAGGAAAAAATGATTACGGAAGATTTCATTGTTTTGCCTGCTTCATATACGTATATGTATAATTTAGGCACCAATCTCTTTTAATACGTACATTTTATAATACGTGTGTCCAATAATAATAACGAGATAATAGGTTTGTACCCCGCTCGCGGTCGGCCATGATGATAATAGTAATAATAATAATAATTGTAATACGAATGTGTATCTATGTAATATAAAAGGAGGAAAATTGTAAAATTAACTGTGCCCGACCGATGGTGTGTTTTATTATTATATAAATTATGTATATAATTTATCGGTGTGTACGATGACTATGATGAGTGGTCTTCTCCGTGGTCGGACGGGCGACGGGCCGCCGCCGTACAGCTCCGGTCAACCTTCCGTCGCGTCGTCCGCGCAGAGTCTCGTAGTAGTAGTAGTAGTAGTAGTCATCATAGTAGTAGTAGTAGTAGTAGTAGTAGTAGTAGTAGTCGTCGCCGCCACCGCCGTCGTTGCCTTGCCTGTCCTTTTGTGCACAGGCAGTGGTTCCGTCTCTCGGACACGCCGCCGCCGCCGCCGCTCCGGTAGTCCTCCAGGTTCCCACGGTAACGTTCGTTCCATAGCTATGGGCTTCTCTCGCGCGCCGTGTGTGCCTGTCAGGTTGTTATGCGCTCAGTGATTCCCAAACGGCGACCGTGGCGACTGACCGGCATACATACCTCGCCGCCGATCACAATCTCTTTATATGCTCCTTTTGTTTTACACACGAATAAAAAAAAAATAAATAAATAAAAAAAAAAAATACCGTACGTCCGCACTGCGCGCACATGACTCACATCGCGCGCGACAGTTTTTTCTCATTTCATACACACACGTACGGAATACATTATTAATATAAAAATGTACGTTAAAAATGTATTATTTATGTGCAACGTTAATAAATCACCGCTGCCCCCGACGACGACGACGATGATGACGGCAGTGATGATATTATTCGGTAGGACGCGCGTGCGAGAGAGTTTTACGAGCGTATTTCGGTCGTGTTTTACGACTCCTCGAAGAGGTCGCGACGGAAAACCGGGTTGCTCCTGGACTGCGGTCCGCTCTTCGCATGATTTTTTTTATTTTTTTATTTATGTATCGCGTTCAGACCCACCGCTCGAGGGCGAGAGCCGATAAACGAGCCGATAACCGCGCCGCGGTGTTAGGTCTCTCCTTTTTGTGTGCATTTATTGATCAACGAATACACAGTACGTTCTAATTTATTCACCAAGTACATAGTGTAATTTATTATACACATTTCCACTCGAGTTTATTAAAATATCGCCGTTCCGTGCGAATTTTGAAAATTTCGTTCTCATCATCGGCCGAAACGATCATGGTTGATTACCGACCACTGGACTATCGCCGTCGCCGCACACGAGTTCTTAACCGGTGACACAATAATCATACACACACACACACACATACACGCAAAGACGAGTGGAGATAGCCTGTAATTACACGGTGGGTATCGGTTACCCGCCGCAGCCGTTGATGTCGGTCCCGATCGCTTCTCCTGCCCCGCCACCATCCGACCTCTAGAACCGTTTATACGAACGATTATTAAACGCCATTGTTTTTATATATCCAGTTACTGGTTTTTTCCTCTTTCCTCTTTTTTCTTCTCTCTCCATCTTCGATTCCTTCCTTATTTTATATATTTATGTGTACATGCACTATATATTTATATATGTTCATACTCGCGTACATATATGTATTGCATTTTTCTCTCGCGCGAGACAGTGGCGTCGGCGGTGGATCCCACAAGAGAATAATTATGTTTCAGAACCCGTGCAATTTGTCGTCATTCATAATGTTTCAAAATAAGATCTTATTTTAATGTTTCAAAATAAGATCAGCAAACAGAGATACATAAAAATAATAATAATAATAAAAAATTCCTTCCGACTAGTCACGAAAATCGCATTAAGTCGCGGGCGTTTACCCCCATCGCCATCGTAGCCGCCGACATTCTTGGCCGTAGCTACCATAGGTTTTTTTTATTATTCGAAATTTTTTATTTTACTTTTTAATTTTCCATCGCTGCAATTGTACGATGTGCTGTGCGTTTTCCCAGCGGGGAACAATAGTGTCCGCACACACTCGCGCGCACTGGGTGTATTCTGACATAACAACAAAAACCCATTGGCGCAGGGTGGCAGCTGCAAAACGCGCGCGACCACTTGTGTCCCCCCCTACTATGGCAGCAGTGTTGTACACTCATACTCGTTCATTTGCACACACATACACACGCACACTGAAAAACCGTCCGAGCCCCTTACATCGAGCAACATCTGCCATGTTCCGGTTTCGCCATTCCCGTCTCGAAAAATTGAATAAAGCTCAAAATGAAATATATATGTATATACAACGCTGTGAATTACTATATGAAAAAAAAATGTTTTGAATTTTTTTTTTTTTACAGCGATTTGCGCACCTGGCTGCGACGAGAAAAAAGGAACGTGCATGACTCCAGGAACCTGCCAGTGAGTATAAATACATAGATATACCAACCTTTTATATAAATACGAGTCCATAAGTCTTCTTTATGCCTTCTTTTTTCCTTCATATATATGTACCTATACCTATATTTTTTATTTCGTGTCGGTAATTAAAAGTCTCCGACTGGTTCACGGCCATCTATATCCGACGACCTTAACCCCAGCACCTCTCCCACATAACCGGTCATCATCAACATCATCATCGTCATCTTCATCATCATATACACTTATTCCTGTTGTTTATTTATGGATTGATCGTGCTGCGGCTATTTATCTGATTCAATCAGCGCCCGAGAATATATACCTAATATAAAATGTTATTTCCTATTGCTCACGTACACTGTACTCTCCTCTTAGGTTCTTACTCATATAACCGCTAAATAATGCAACGGAAATGATTCGTCGAAAGCAATTTACTAAAACCAATGTGTTTGTTTTTCCCTTTCCGTGCAGATGTCACTTGGGCTGGACCGGTGAAAGATGCGATCAGTGTCAAATATACCCGGGTTGCGTGAACGGTTATTGTCAAAAACCGTGGCAGTGCCTGTGCAAAGAAGGATGGGGAGGCATGTTCTGCAACCAAGATTTGAACTATTGCACAAATCACGCACCGTGCAAGAATGGCGGGACGTGCTTCAACACGGGCCAGGGACTGTACACGTGCTCGTGTCCACCAGGTTTCTCGGGACCTGAGTGCAACGTGGACCTGGGATTGTCAAACAAACCAGGACTGGACTGTACCACAGGGTTGACTTGCCTTAACGGCGGGACATGCAAAGTAAGTATTACGTCATAGGATAACTATTATATTGTATAAATCGTATTTACCCCCAGGGCTGATCCCGACCAAGATAATGAGGTAGGGTTATCGTTTAAAAGGCACCCGTTTAAGATTAAATCGTTTCGCGGGTTGCACCGCGTTTAAAAATATGTTTTAATTAATTATATTTTTGATCATGGCTAGTATACATTTAAATCCCCTCCCCAACTACCACTATATCTTCCCGTGGTAATTCATTTTGCGCGTACGATTGCGTTTCTCTCGTTCGGTCGTATGCTAATCGACGGGCTTAACGTTGTGTTTCCGCAGAAAAATGGCGCTGTACCCAGCTGTTCGTGCCCCAGCCAATGGAAAGGCGTTCGATGCGAGACGTCCACGCAACCGGCTTGTGCCAGTTCACCGTGCGGCAACGGCGGCACTTGCGTGAATGGCAAGAACAATAACGGCACCGGTAGCAACAACAACGGGTACGTGTGCCATTGCCCCATGGGCTTCTCCGGGCCGACCTGCCACCAGGCTATCAATCACTGCCAGCCGGACCCGTGCCGGAACGGCGCGACCTGCGTGCCGAGCAAAGACAGTTCCAGTTACACGTGCAAGTGCGCTCCCGGATTCGCCGGCGCCCACTGCCACCTGGCCGACCACTGCCAAAAGAACCCGTGCCAGAACGGTGGTACGTGTCAGGTCCAGGCGGACGGTTTCCGTTGCCAGTGCGTGCCCGGCTACGTCGGTGACCTGTGCCGCAGCGAGGTGGATTATTGTGTGGCCAAGCCGTGCGCCAACGGTGGTTCATGCGAGAATCTGAAAAACGATTTCCGGTGCAGCTGCCGTCCCGGATTCGGGGGCAAGGACTGCAGTCGGTACGTGAACGAGTGCGTGTCCTCGCCGTGCGCCAACGGAGGCACATGCGTAACGGCGACCGGCAGCGGTGGCAACGGTTTCAAGTGCGAATGCTCGGCCGGTTACTCGGGCTCCAACTGCACAGAAGAATGGCCGACGACGTTGGGTGACCGGTCCAAGCACGTGTCGGTGCAAGACCAGCCCGAGATGGTACAGGCGTCCGTCAACGGCGTGCTCATGGTCGTACTGTCCGTGTCCGTGCCCGTGGCTGTGTTGGCCGCCATCGTGGTGGTGCTGTGCATGAAGAACCGCCGGCGCAGAGACCAAAAGAAAGCCGACGAGAACGCGAGAATCCAAAATGAACAGAACTCCATACACAGCGTGGCCAAGCTGGGCGACCCGCACGTCATCAGGAACTCGTGGGACCCGCTGCCACCCGCTGCCCGCGAGAACGTCTACTCCGAGCCGCTGTGCTTCGCCGCGTCAAATAAAATGATGCAGCAGCAGCAGCATCAGCAGCCGTCGCTGACGCCGGCCCAATCGTCGTCGTCGCTTCAGAGGCAAAAGTTGCTCAACACCGACCGGCAGAACCGCATGTCGTTCAAGGAACAGGACACCGTGGCTGCCGCCAACGCGTTGGACCGCAGGATATCCGTCATATCGGTCGACTCGGCCGTGAACCAATGCAACAACACCAAGTAAGCATATCTATATTTTATACGCAATGATAACGATGTGACCGATCCCTCCGCGCGGTACACTTAGTATATAATTTATGTTCTGCGGTTCGGAGAAGATCGAGTGCCAGTCGGCCGTCGATACGGGGGCGGTAGAGAGAGGAAACGAGAAAAAAAATTCGACCAGAACTGACTTCACGTCTATGTTATTGCGTTTAACGACATTTCGATGGATTCCCAAAAATCTTCCGAGTCATACGCATATTATATTAATATGTTTCGTATGGGCTTTTATTATTATTTAATATACGCGCGATGACTGACGTACGTGTTCCTCGGACCGAGTAATGCGTTTATGTATTTACTCGTGAATCTCGCGTGCTAGGTACGTATACCTACGAGTCATACACACAATCGGAATACCGAGAAGAGAGATTTATTATTATTGTTATTGTTATTGTTTTGTTGTGTGTGAGGTCTTAATGCGACGACGATAACGGAATGTCTTGATACCTTGCATATAGTACGTAGATGGATCGGTAGATGGGTAATAGGAGTATTTGATAGATACAATTATTCAATGCGTCTAGTCGTGTGTAAGGTACAGCGGGCGGGCGAGAGCGTTCAATGCGTTGATGACTTGGCGCAAAATGACAACGGGGTAATAATATATATTGTTGAGGACTTCATTTATCAACCACCTGTGACTTGACGTATAACAGCGTACCGGCCCAGTGCCTTCCACCAACGAACTACCGCACCGCTGTATTTAACCGTCGTCTTATAGCGTGTACTTTTATAGTATTTGGAAAATGTGTATATTAAGTTTTCCATTCGCTTTGTTCTGTTTCAGCGAGGTATCTCCCGTCAAAGCTCACCACCATTATCATCGCAACATACACCAGCAGCTTCAGTACGAAAGAGCGGCTGTAAAATCGATGATTTTAGACCAACACTCTTTTGCCACACAAGTTTAGACTGTTTATTAATTTATATTATATATATATATATATATATACACACACATTTATATATATATATATATATATATAAATATATATATAACGATATTTTTTTTTTAAGTAGACTTCTTGATGAATCTGTCGGTACATTTTTTTTTGACCCTCTCATATTTGTATACTCATCCACATACTCTCACAAATACTGTCTCTCTCTCTATTTTGTTTTTTAAAATAGCGATTAGACTTAAACGTCTATTACTCTATAAATATCTCTGTTTTTCCTAACCTCCAATTTTCTCTCGGCCGTTAAAAAAAAAGAATTCGACAACTGAAAAAAAAAAATGTATTCTAATCTCAATCTTTATATATATATATATATACCCATTATTATAAACTAGAGCCAGGGTGATGATCTCTAAGGCGTTGTGATCGTTTTGTTGTTGTTAATTATAATTATAAGTATTATTAATTTAATTAATGTGTCGAACAAAAAAAAAACATGTTCCTGTTATTTAATCCCTAAGTCATTATTTTGTAGTTTTTTATACGACTTTTTTGTGCGAGTCTTTAGGACGAATTATTTGTTAAATATTAATGTAATATTAAATAAAAGTAAAAGTGTTGTTGGACGTATTAATTATAATATTAAAACATATCTATATTATAAATGCGCGAAACTAAAATTATACTTAAGTTTTTTGTACTGTATTTTGTAAAAAAAAAAAATTATGTAAATAAGGTAAATTACAATTCTAAACAACGATCATTTATTTTTCGTCAATGAATAAATTTGTTAAATTGACTCATTCAAATGTTTTTAAATATATTATTGTTGTTCCTTTGTTAATAAATGATTGTTTCAAATGATTAAAAAAAAAAAAAAACCTACACACCATTACTTTATTATTTATTTTTCATCCGCCCGTTCCCCGCTCGTTCTCTTGCCGCCGTCCTGTTCTCACCCGCACATACGGAGATCGGGGCCCGCCGTGAGGTATCGCTTGCCCGGAACACGCGACCGCTGCGGTCGGTGAACGCGATTTTCGCGCGTGCAACATCTCGTCGGGGATAAACCACCGTGGACGGTACGGGCCGCAGCGGCGCAATGATAAATATTATCGCGTACGTTACGACGGTCGTGTGCGCGTGTACACAACACTACACAGTCGGACGGTCAAATACCGTGTAATGGTCACGTAGCCGCGCGGCGCACCGCAATTGGATTTATTGAATCGAAAAAACCTCAGAAACGAATTACCCTTTGTCGTCGTCGTCGTAATAATGATAATAATAACAGGTACGTGCAGCGCCGGGGACGATCTGTTCGATTTATTACACGCATTACCGTGCGTCGGAAGATCGATCGGTTCTCAGACCGCAGTGCGCGCGCTCGCGCATCGTACGGAACGGCCGAACACGTAACAATAATAATAATAATCGTGTATAGGATTGGCCGACGTGCGCCCGCGTCGTTAACCGGAAGATTTTCGAAAACGCACGCGCCCGATCGATTGCGGCGTGTTACACCCGGCACTGCGCACGTACGACCGCGATTTCTTCGGTTCAGGCGGCCGACCGGTGGCCCCGACGGCGGAGATTGTGTTTGCGGTCCGCGCTGCGAGCTTTCTCGAAAAATGTAGCAACCGATTTAGGACCTGCGTCGTTCGCTACTATACGAGCTGCGGTTCAACGGTATGACGGTGATGAGGCCGGCATGTGAAGACGTCACCATAGGCGGCGAGGGTGTCGGGTGTACCCGAGCACTCTCTCGAAAAGTTCTAAACGGAGCTCTGCAATGTAGGAGTGAGGGGCCCGAGTTTCGACCGATGTTGCTCAACTTAAACGCTAGTCCATTCTAAAATATTCGGTAAAAGATTAATTAGGTTTCGTAATAGGAAAAATAAGACTAGATTTTCTAAATGATCGTGCAAAAACTTCTTATGAAAATACAACGATTGACTACAAAAGCACAAATCATAAACAATCGAAGCTGTCCGAGAAAAATATACGAGGTTCGAGGAAAACATATTCATTGAGACTTATGTGTACTACAATGTTGGATAAAAAAATAAAGTTATGTCTATTTGATAGTTTATACATTATAATTTATTAAATACACCTACATGTTTTGTTAAGATAGGGTCCAAAAATATTGTAGGCACCCTCTCTCCCCCCCCCCCCCGAAACACAGGTCTATGCTTGCTTATGTGACGAACAATTCATTATTAAGCGCCGGTGGGGGCAACCAGACGCTTTCGTACGGTTTGCGAAAATCACTTTTTTAACATATACGTGCAATAACCTAACATATTCGATCGTTAGATACGTCGGATATACTATGCATACCTATACCAATCATTTTTTGACGCAATAACATAAGACGTCATGTCCGGATAGTTATTAATTCTTACTGGACAATTGAGTTCATTGAACATCATTTAGTTAGCGATTGTATTCAAGGTCGGATTAAGCACCTATTGGGCCCCGGGGCTGAAATTTTATATGGGCCCTTTTGACAAAACATGCTTTACAAAGCTGCTCACAGAACGATATATTTTTTTTAACTATTTCACAAATTAAAAATAATTAAATATAAAATAATAAAATTAATATGTATATACAATTTATGCCTATAAAACTACTAATTTTAGTATGATAAAAAATGTGTATGGGCTTAAAATTGTTGGGTCCCTTTCACTTAGGTATTCGAGAGGGCCCTGGGGCTACCATCCCGACTAGTCCCCCCTTAATTCGGCCTTGATCGTACTTTAACATAGCTATATATTACGTAGTCCATACCATACGTCGTTAAAACCGTTCATAATTCATTATTATTAATATTTTTCCCCCGTCTGATTAAATAATTAAAAAAAAAAGTCTCCCTGATCACTGCTCGCGCTTACCCTACAATGTGTTCACTCCTTCTATACGATATGGTTTATAAAAAAACCTGGTAGTTATTAGTTGCGTCCCGCGGTAAAGATGTCTTCCGAATTGCGACTCGAGTATTTTTAGTATGCTTATGAATTGTGGCTCAAATACGACTACACACTAACTTAAAAATGATTAAATATAAATTATACATCCTACGCTTAATTTTCCTTACCATTTTTATACAGACTTAGGACTGTCTGTAGAATCAATACAATTACGGCCGGCTTTAGATGCGTTCAAAGGTGAAAGGCGTCAAAATCAAAAGGACGCGTGAGAAGTGTCAAAATTTGAATTAAATTTGATGAAACTTTGACGAAGCAAATTATCTACTATAGGTAGAGAAAAAAAGTTCACAATGTTATTTAATGTAAATTTGATTATTATTATTATTGTTTATTACTATATTTACATGTTAGGATTATCCGCTTTTGTAGATAAAATTACAGTTTTATAAACTGTCACTATATTATTATTATTATTATTATTATGTTTGTTCTCTGTATGATTTACAAATATGTGGAATGTCTTAACGTTTGAAAAGTTATTTTTAGTATTTTTTGTTACAAATAGGGTTAACATTTTTCCTGCTACCCTAATTCTGTCAGTTTATATGCTTAGGTTGATTTAGAGGGAGAGGTGGCAAAATCATTTGTCGACTGGGTGCTGAAAGAACTAAAGCCGGTCCTGAATATAACAGGTAGGTTTGCATTTCCATTGAATATATGATTTATAAGTTTTTTTTAGAACAGAAAAATTAGAAGAGCGATGAAATGTTCTTAACGGTAATAAAGCGACGACTAAGATGTATTTTGGTATTTACATTCAGACGCCTACACAAAAAAATATTTTGGGGAGGTTTTAGGTTGTATATTTTCATATCTATATAATGTATAAACTACTTTTACTCTATAAAAACATATGTAATAATTTTCCTGGATTTGGAGAGGGGGTTTAACCCCAAAACCCCTCTTGTGTACGCGTTTGTCTACATTATATTGTCATTATATTTTTTAAGCCAACATTAAAAACTATCCTGATGTAATACAAATCAATAGATATGTTATAATGTTACAAAACCTACAATATATGATTGCTAATTGCCGCTATTGTTGAATGGGAATGGATAATATTATATAGGTATGACAGATATGGCAAATATTAATAGGGTCGCCACTCGTCTGTACCCAAAAAAAAAAAAAAACTTGGCCTGGAATTCGGATTAGATTTTCCCTCTTACATCTTTGAGACTCAACTACTATGCTGCCGAAAATCCGTCTCAGATTGTGTACATTTACAATATAATATTTACACAATCTGAGACGGACTATATTATGTAGGTGCTTAAATACAATATACTCGGTATCCAGATATTTCACCGCAATTAATTCACCGCGCGTACAATTCATCGTAAATATATATATATATAATTTTTTTATATGATGGGCCATTAAGTTTATCTTACTGATACAAATTGATTTCCTTATGAAAAATTTTAAATTCGAAAATCACCATTTTGGTAAACATGTTATAACGATTACATACGTAAATGATTATTGAATTATTGTGTCGGCATCGTCCAGTACATGTATCGACGTTTACGAGTGTTATTATTTACTATTTAATTAACTGTTCTATATCCACGACGAATTGTAGCCGGTGAATTGACATGCGATGAATTGTAAAGATGATGAAATGTTGACGGTGAATAGTCGCATAGTGAATTATCCGCGATCCTATTACATCCATATAATCTATATTATATATATTATCCCATATACTCGTAGTTGTCGGTAATACAGTACGCGAGTTTTGAACAAATCTCTAATTCTTATACGCGAAAATCTGAAAATCTGAGTGTAGCAGCTATGAGATAAATTGTGCCCATTTTCTATTCCCCTTTTCCCCAAAAAAAATACAAGGCTTCTAAATTTAAACATCCGAGTGTGTCTGGATTATTTCTCTTTAGTTTTCCCGTTACTATTGTGCGGCGGAGGGGATCGGACTTTTGTTTTCGGGGTAATCGTTCGCGGAATAGCGTCCTTTCCCGCCGCCACCCGCGACTAGACTATCCGCGATATTCCGTCGCGGAATTTCACAAGGATGGGGTAAAAATACGATTCCTTTGTTTCCTGCGACGCACAAGGCAACGCGTGTACGTGGTGGAAAAAAAAATCGGCTAAATTTAGAAGACCCATTGTAGCGCTTCAGATTCCTCCGCCAGTGTGGTGACGACGTGGTGATCATGATCGTCATCGTCATTGAAAATAGGAATCTCGCGACAAATCAATAGTTGGAACGGGACCAGCAACGCGTCACGTCAGTTTCTCCGAAAAACGAACGCGTGCAGGAGTCTGTCGATTCCGCTTTTAACGGTGTAGTTTTTGATTACCAGTTGCCACAATGAATGTCGGGCGTATGCAAAAAGATATTTTGTTTTTATGATTTTCGAATTAACGGTGTTAATTATTTTATCGCTATCAAGAACGCGTGTAATGGAGTAACCAGATGTGTATGACTTTTTTACCGCTGAAAATTGAATCGACGATTCATCGGTATTAATCAACAGAACATTCGCTTATATCGGCCGTTCTTTTAATGAAAATAATGTTACAATCTCAAACCTATTCAGTGGTGAAAATTATTACGTTGGTGGGCCAAAATCTTCATGAAAACGATTTCAATTTCAAGTATTCAACTTTGGCA